ATATATATACATAATGTATATCATATATATTTATAATAAAATATATCTAGTTTTAAAAATATTAAATTTTTCATTCAGCTTTTATTCCCTAGAAATTACAATAGCTTGATGAATTCAGGAAACGCTTGCAAAAGTATTTACGTTTCTTCCTGACATGCTGTACAAGGTTCAGGGTTTTTGTTTGTATATTTATATTTCTTTATGACAACATGTTTATGTTACATGTTAAAGGGCAAACATGTAGAGAAACCAGTATTATCCTGTGGGAAATATCTTCATGCGGCGGCACTTTAATATCAGTCTCAATATCCTAGATTAATGTCATCTAATACCCTGTGATTACAGCACTGCTGCCAGACGCTGTCACTTGACAACGCAACGCTTTTCCAGAGCAATGCAAAGCTGCATTCACCTGGAGGACATTTATCTGAAGACAGATAAACGGCTCGGCTAGCAGCTTGATTTCTTATGCAACCCTTTCGCTGGCTAAATACATGTTTGATTTTTGTGTTGTTGTTATTCTGGTTATGTAAAAAATCCAATAAAACCTACATGGCTGCGGGAATATCTCTAGTATTACATGTAATCAAGTGATGCTGGATCGGCCCAGTTATTATTGATGCTTTAACAGGCATTAAAACACTGAACGCTTCATACTGTAAGCTTCTCATAATCTGCATCCTCTGCTTTTCACCTGCATGCCAAAGACTGTCGGTGATCTCAATAGCATGAACGTTTCGTTAAAAAGAGCCCAGACTGGCTTTAGCTTCCGGAGCAGCTCAGCTAAACTAAAGCTCTAGCACTGCACATCTCTTGATCGAGTGTCTGTGTCATGCTTTCTGTGGTGTTTGAACACTGTGTCCTGTTATACGTGGCTAGTAGTTGTGTGGGATTGATCGGGTTGCAGCCGCTTGTGCGCTTCTACATGGAGGCAATAGTGGAGAACGTGTACAAATCTGAACTGCACTGTAAGTTGCACACATCAAAAAATTGGGAAAATAAATTTTCACTCAAAAATTGCTAAATATCACAAATACGTGACTAGACTGAAATGCTATTTTCTTGCAAAACATACTCTAATAATCTCCATTTAAAATGATCTTCATTTGCTTTTTTTTTTTTTTAATTGCACCAAAGTTATATTTATTTTTTGTTTAAATTAAACTATTTTTATTTATATTTTATGATGAAATATACATTACCATTCAAGTTTGGGGTCGGTAAGAAATGAATACTTGTATTCGTCAAACATGCATTAAATTGATCAAATGTGACAATTAAGACATGTAGAATGTTATAAAAGATTCCATTTCAAATGAATGCTGTTCTATTGAACTTCCTGTTCATCAAAGAATCCTGAAAAAAATGTATCACGGTTTCCACAAAAATATTGTGCAGCACAACTGTTTTCAACATTGATAATAATCAGAAATGTTTCTTGAGCAGCAAATCAGAATATTAGAATGATTTCTGAAGATCATGTGACACTGAAGACTGGAGTAATGATGCTGAAAATACAGCTGCGCATCACAGAAATAAATATATATATTCACATTGTAAACAGCTCATTTAAATTCTAATAATATTTCACAATTTTACTGTATTTTTGAGCAAATAAATGCAGCCTTGGTGAGCAGAAGAGACTTTTGAATGGTAGTGTATGTGTAAAACAGTATGTTTATAATCAACGACATCTCACTTGGTTTTGGAAGAGAGCAGCATAGAAAGGAAATCAGAGAATGGCTTCTTTTTTGAAAAGTCATATTTAAAGTTCAGAATTGCTGTTGCTAATGGAACAGTGAAGTGATTGTGTCTAAAAGTTGAGTTGGGTGTCCACGTTGTGTGTGATTTGACAGTGAAGGAATCTTAGACTTTCCAAATGAAACTCACCTGGCTCTGATCTGAGTTCTAGAATGTCCCGCATTCCAGTTCATCATCGTTTCCCTTTGATCTCTGTCGCCTAGGTTACGCCCCGGTAACAGGCATGTGCCACCCGCTGCGGAGCTGCTCAACCACGAAGACGGCTTTTCCTCTGCCTTTGTGGTGGCGCACGAAACCGGACACGTGTAAGTTTACATCTGCTTTCTATAGTCCTGACTCTGAGCATGCTATCAGTGTTTAAGATCGTGTAGGTAAAGCACGGCACGTTAGCATGCATTTCAAGTAATTGCTCCTGTCTTTTTTATAATAATTATGTTTATGAGCACATGAACAGTGGTGTAATTAGCAGGAACGCTTTGAGACTTGGTGAGGAGTGTCATTCAACAAGCAAGTTTGTATTTGGCGTAATTCAGCAAAAATTTTAATTTGCTGAAAATGTGCTCACCCTCAGACCATCCAAGATGAGTTTGTTTCTTCATCAGATTTGGAGAAATCAGCAATGGATGCTCTGCAGTGAATGGGTGCCGTCAGAATGAGAGTCCAAACAGCTGATAAAAAAGACCAGAACACTTTTTCACTGAAGGAAGCGTTATTATAGAGTATGGACTCGTATTTTAGTTAAAAACATCTTAATGCTGGATTAGTTTCAGCTTTTGTCTTCTCCAGATGTTAACTGATGGACTGGAGTGGTGTGGATTACTTGTGGATTATTGTGATGTTTTTATCAGCTGTTTGGACTCTCATTCTGACGGCACCCATTCACTGCAGAGCATCCATTGCTGAGACACATTTCTCCAAATCTGATGAAGAAACAAACTCATTTACATCTTGGATGGCCTGAGGGTGAGCACATTTTCAGCAAATGTTCATTTTGGGGTGAATCCTCTCTTTAAGTTGCAATTGTGAAATGTTGCCTACACAGTTTGTCAGCTGTTTGCGAAAAATGGCGATAAAGCTCTGCCAGGAAAAAGCTACTCATTCAGCTAGTTTATGAGACATCATTTAGTGTGGTGGCATGAGCATGATAAAATACAGAAAGCATCTGTTGTATGCTTAATATGCAAGAAAGGCAGAAAGAAATATGAAATTGCTCAGCATGTCCATTGCATTATGATCCAAATTAATTGAATGCACATTGTAATTACAACACAGAAGTAGGAACATGCTGGAGGACATGAACATAGTATGAACATGTACTGCTGAGACGAATGCTGCTCAATAGCGCCTCCTGTAGAACAGAGCTCTGCCATGAGAAAAACTGGCTCCTTTTGCTATTTTGCAAGATGGTTTATATTTTCCGGTTCATTCCAGGTCTTCAGTAACTTAAGAACAGACATGAATCATCTTCTGTTCTTCACTGTGGTCTGTTTCCTACGGTGGCCGTGAAGTGCAAAGCAAATCACAATTCTGAAACCTCATAATGTGATTCATCAGCGATGACTGCAGATTTAATGTTTGTTGTGTCTCTATGAACACTGACAACAGTCACATGAGCTGGAAGAAATGCTCTGCTTGTAGTCGGATGTTCCTGCGCTGCAGGGAATGTGGAGAAGCTGCTTTAAGACTGTAGTTTATCAAGCTGTGTATAGTTTAAAGTGCTTTAAGTCACATAAACACTGTATGACAACCACTTGACTTCCATAATCTGATGTATTTTGAATGAATCAGGATACTGAATGAACAGAACTTTACAGTAGGTTGATACTTGAGTTTTTTTAATGATGAATTAATTGGGTGTAAAGAGTGTTTCTATATGACTCATGGTTAAAAGTAAGATGGATCGATGAGGTCAGCTGAAAAGGACAGCTGTTTCTTTAACATCATTACATTTAGATGTAAATGAAGATCAAGACGCATCTTATGATGCACACGAATGAATCATTCATAATAAGACTATTAGAATATACAGTATAAACATTACTGTTCAAAATGTATTTTAATTGAATGTATTTAAAATTTAAATTTATTTTTTTTATTTTTTAGGATTCATTCAATTGATTAAAATTAGCAGTAAAGGTGTTTATAATGCTACAAACCATTTTTATTTCAAATTGATTGTTCTTTTAAACTTTCTGTTCATCAAATCATTTTATAATCAGCATATTAGAATGATTTCTGAAGGATCATGTGACTAAAGACTGGAGTAATGATGCTGAAAATTCAGATTTGCATCACAGGAATAAAACACATTTTACGGTATTTTCACATAGAAAACAGTTATATTAAATTGTAATAATATTTCACAATATTACTGTTTTTACTGTAGTTTTAATCTAATAAATGCAGCCTTTGTGAGCAGAAAAGAAAAATCTTACCCAAAAAAATCTTACCCAAACTTTTTGGTAGTGAGATTTAACTGACAGCATTTGATTTGATCACAAATTAATGCTAAATGCAACTAATGAAATCATTTAAAAACATAGTAATAAACAACTCGTATAAATATTACATTCATATTACAATATTACAAGTCTTAAGTCGCTGGGATATATTTGTAGCAATAGCCAACAATACATTGTATGGGTCAAAATTATAGATTTTTCTTTTATGCCAAAAATCATTAGGACATTAAGTAAAGATCATGTTCCATGAAGATATTTAGTAAATTATCATTAGTAATATGCATTGCTAAGAACTTAATTTGGACAAATTTAAAGGCGATTTTCTCAATATTTAGATTTTTTAGCACCCTCAAGATTCCATATTTTCAAATAGTTGTGTCTCAGCCAAATATTGTCCTATCCTAACAAACCATACATCAATGGAAAGCTTATTTATTCAGCTTTCAGATGATGTTCAAATCTCAATTTCAAAAAATTGACCCTTATGACTGGTTTTGTGGTCCAGGGTCACAAATAAGCTACACAGAAAGTTCAGAAAGTGCAGGAACAAATCAGTGTGTCATTATATAGTCGAAATGAACTGATTCACTCTACCAAACATTACAGGACACCCTGTTTGATGAAACTGACCAGTAGTTTGCTGATTGCATTGAATGTTTCAGGCTGGGAATGGAGCATGACGGCCAGGGGAACCGCTGCTCGGACATAGCCATTGATATTTAAATCTCTTGATAAAACATTGGCTATTGATATTTAAATCTCATAAAAGAACATTGGCCATTGATATTTAAATCTATTGATAGAACAATGACCATTGATATTTTAGTAGCTATTGATATTTAAATCTCTTAATAGAACATAGTCATTGATATTTAAATCTATTGATAGAACATAGTCATTGATATTTAAATCTATTGTTGGTCCCGCTGCAGCAAACAGGAGCTCAACCGCTACATCCAGTAAGAAGCTGCTCCTTACTTCTGCTCTGATCCTCAGTATCCATCACTGAAGATGATTTGAGAGATGAAGCATGAGTAGGGAGTGAAAACCAGTAACATAATCTCTCCAGAGAGAAAGAGATGACATAAATGCCATTAAATCTGACGCTGTGGACATTTACACATCCTTATGTTGTTCCTTTTGTGTTCAACTGAAGGAAGTTAAGTTAGATTTCTTAATAGAACAACAGCCACTGATATTTTAATAGCCATTGATATTTAAATCTTTTAATAGAACATTGGCCATTTATATTTTAATAGCCATTGATATTAAATTTCTTAATAGAGCAAAAGCCATTGATATTTAAATAGCCAATGATATTTACAACTCTTAATAAAACATTGGCTATTGATATTTAAATCTCTTAAAAGAACATTGGCCATTGATATTTAAATCTCTTAATAGAACATAGTCATTGATATTTAAATCTATTGATAGAACAATAGCCATTGATATTTAAATCACTTAATAGAACAATGACCATTGATATTTTAGTAGCTATTGATATTTAAATCTCTTAATAGAACATAGTCATTGATATTTAAATATTTTAATAGAACAATAGCCATTGATATTTAAATCTCTTTGATATTTCATCTCATTGATATTTGTAAATCTCTTAATAGAACAATAGGCATTGTCATAATCGCTTAATAGATCAATACCAATATTTAAATAGAAAAGAAAGAATGCATATTTATTTGTTGATCAGTGTTTTTGAGCAGTGCACTGATACCGCTTTATTTTTTTTATCTTTCAGCTCATATGACTGTCTTCTGGATGATCCGTTTGAGCTGAAATGGCCTAAACTCACAGAGCTTCCCGGGATAAACTACTCCATGGATGAGCAGTGCCGCTTTGATTTCGGTGTGGGGTATAAGATGTGCACCGCAGTAAGTCCTCAAGCATCTTTCTATCTCTATATTTAGCTCTGATCTGTGAACATAGACTAAAGTTCAAGCAGTTTACGATGAGATGGGCAACATGAGCTTGTTTAATCTGCATCTGCGGAGCTAAATCAGGAGAAACCTATTGCATTTTGATGAAATATGATTCCATGAGTTTGTCGCTCTCTCTTCCTCCAGTTCCGTACATATGACCCGTGTAAGCAGCTTTGGTGCAGTCATCCTGACAATCAGTACTTCTGTAAGACCAAGAAGGGCCCGCCGGTGGACGGGACGGAGTGTGCACCAGGAAAGGTGAAACTGCACTGATTCTTGTCAACACCACCAAACAATTGAATGAAATTGGTATATCGCATTTTTCATACAACCTTCATAAAATATTTGTATATTCAGTTGGCTCAAGAACAAAATGACCTTGCTTTGGAATCAGCATTTGCAAAATGTCAATCTCACATCAGACTCTTCGGCAGCCAGTTATTTGTACTTGGAACAAAACCAATCATTATCTAAATTCATAAATGACTTTATTACTCAGGCGTGTTTGCAAGCATCAGACTTTCATCTGTGACTACTGATCATATTTTAATTTGCAAATTACTTACCGTTGCTTAGAACAAAACCAACTAATATTTAATCTCTTAATAGATCAATATTTTATCTCTTACTTTAATAATAACCACCAATATTTAATCTCATAATTGAACATTAGCCATTGATATTTAAATCTCTTAACTGAACAATAACATTGATATTTCAATCTCTTAATTGAACAATAGCCATTGACATTTTAATTACATAATTGAACAATAGCCATTGGTATTTTAATCTCTTAATAAACAATAGCCACTGATATTTCAATCCCTGAATTGAACATTAGCCATTTATATTTAAATATCTCAAGTAAACAATAGCATTTATATTTTAATCTCATAATTGAATAATAACATTGATATTTGAATGTCCTAAATGAACAATAGCCATGGATATTTAAACTCATAATTGAACAATAGCCATTCATATTTTAAGATTGATTGAAAAATAGCCATTGATATTTTAATTACATAATTGAACAATGACATTGATATTTGAATCTCATAATGGAACAATAGCCATTGATATTTTAAGATGAATTGAACAATAGCCATTGATGTTTTAATTACTTAACTGAAAAATAACCTTTGATATTTTAATCTCATAATTGAACAATAGCCATTGATATTTTAATTACATAATTGAACAATAGCCTTTGATATTTTAATTACCTAATTGAAAAGTCAAAAAGTGACGTGACATGTGGCCAAGTATGGTGACCCATACTCGGAATTAGTGCTCTGCATTTATCCCATCCACCTTGGGTTACGAGTCCGACTCTCTAACCATTAGGCCACGACTTCCCCATTGAACAGTAAGAACAATTGCCTTTGATATTTTAATCTCATAATTGAACAATGGTCATTGGCATTTTAATTACACAATTGAACAATAGCTGTTGATATTTTAATTACATAATTAAACAATAACCATTGATATTTTCATCTCATAATGGAACAATAGCCATTAATATTTTAAGATGAATTGAACAATAGCCATTGATATTTTAATTACATAACTGAAAAATAGCCTTTGATATTTTAATCTAATAATTGAACAATAGCCATTAATATTTTAATTACATAACTGAACAATAGCCTTTGGTATTTTAATGACCTAATTGAACAATAGCCTTTGATATTTTAATCTCATAATTGAACAGCAGCATTATTATTTTAAGATTAAGTGAACAATAGCCATTGATATTTTACATAATTGAACAATATGCTTTGACATTTTAATTTCATAACTAAACAATGGTCATTGACATTTTAATTACACAATTGAACAATAGCTGTTGATATTTTAATCTCATAATTGAACAATAGCCATTAATATTTTAAGATAAATTGAACAATAGCCATTGATATTTTAATTACATAACTGAAAAATAGCCTTTGATATTTTAATCTCATATTTGAACAATAGTATTATTATTTTAAGATTAATTGAACAATAGCCAATGACATTTTAATTACACAATTGAACAATAGCTGTTGATATTTTAATGACATAATTGAACAATAGCCATTGATATTTTAATCTACAACTAATATGGTGATATGTTAAGGACACAGTGTTTATGTATAGTAATGGTTGTGGGTTAGTGATACTGGTAAATGTGTGTGTGTTGCAGTGGTGTTTTAAAGGCCACTGCATCTGGAGGTCGTCCCATGAGCCCTACGGTCACGACGGAGGCTGGAGTTCCTGGGGAAAGTTCGGTTCGTGTTCTCGTACCTGCGGAGGAGGCATTCAGTCCCGCAGCCGCCAGTGCAACAACCCTGTGTGCGTTACAAACCTGTTTACACCAGCTCATGAATGAGTGAAATGGCTCTGTTAGTCATTTCCTCTCTGTCTCTGCAGGCCTGCATATGGAGGTCGTGATTGTCCGGGGTCGACGTTCGATTATCAGGTCTGTAATACAGAGGACTGTCCCGGCCCATACGAGGACTTCAGAGCGCAGCAGTGCGTCCAGCGCAGCAACAAATACCACAATAACATCAAACACACGTGGCTGCCGTATGAACACTCTGATGGTGAGAGAAATGCAGCTAAATCAATTTTTTTCACTTGATATATTAATATATTAAATGTTTATATTAATATATTTATATTTGCATTCTGGAATTGATTTCCTGGAACAGGTATTCCCAAACATTTTTGTCAGCCGAATATCTTGAAATAATTGAATTATTTAATTAGTTAATATTTTATCAACATTATATTTTGTATGTGTCTCTGATGTCAGTTAATGGTTACATGAGGTGCAGGTAAACAAATAAAATGTTAAAATATTATAAAATAAAATTGTAATAATATTATAATTATTCAATTATTGAATTACTTTATATTAAAGTATTATATTATTCAATCATTCAAAAAAAATGTTTTGCCTTTATTGATATAGGACCACAAGGCTATCGGCGCCGACCAATCATTCAATTATTCAATATTATTCAATTATTAAAATATTATAAAATTCAACATATTATAAAAATAAACTAATTAATTCTTTAGGCTTTTATTTCAATTGCTTTCATTTTTTTTTATGATTTATTTTAATTTTACATTTTTGTTATTGAATTAATTATCAACTTTTCATCAATTCACAAACCACAGTTTGGAAACCCTGTTCTGGAGCATTTTAACTTTATTTTTCTAACCTTAAAAAAAACACAAAGTATGTTGCGTGAACCATGGTGGTTTGTGGTGATATTTGAACAGAACTGTAGAAAATACATCCACCAATTAAAAGTTTGGGGTCAAATTATTACTTTTATTCATCAATGATGCATTCAAAGACATTTATAATTTTAAAAGATTCTATTTTAAATAAATGCTGTTCTTTTGAACATTCTATTCAGCTGTGAATCCTGAAAAATAAATGTATCACAGTTTCCATAAAAAAATTGTGCAGCGCAACTGTTTTCAACATTGATAATAATTAGAAATGTTTCTTGAGCATCAAATCAGCATATTAGAATGATTTCAGAAGGATCATGTGACACTGAAGACTGGAGTAATGATGCTGAAAATTCAGCTTTGATCACAGAAATAAATTACACTTTTCTTTATATTCACATAGAAAACAGCTATTTTAAATTGTAATAATATTTCAAATTTTTACTGTATTTTTGATCAATTAAATGCAGCCTTGATGAGCATGAGAGACTTAAGGGTCTTGTTTTTTCTTTAAAACTTACTGACCCCAAACGTTTGAATGCTAGTGTAAAACTGGTGTTATTTTTAAAATATCTGGGGTATTTCTGTCACTTTTGCTGCCCGGTTCATTTCTGCCTCTGATGTCTGGTGATGAATTCAATCTGAAAGAGCAGGACTCACTGTGACCCTAAAACCACTGAATTCACCACAGACACAAGACACCGAGTGGGACGCGGGAACACAATGTTCCTGGCAGAAACCGGATAGAGAAAATAAGGATCCTGTGAGAAAGATAGACCGAGGAGCAGAGAGACATGAAGAGAAAAACCCTTCATACATCCACATATACATCAATATTCTGTGAAGGCATTAATTACGGTCACATCTCACTGTTCAATGTGGCTGACTCTCATTGTGCTTCTCTTTAGCATATTATGTGTGTGAGTCGATATGAGTCAAGGCTCAGCTTTAGACACATTTCTCTTTTGTACATCTCTCATTTGCATTTCACGAGCTGTGAACTCTTGACAGTAAGTAGGTGGTCACTTAGCAGACACTTTTAATCACAGCATGGCTTTTAATCACAGAGACAGACTGTGAAAGGACTTTGGAGCTGCAGCTCATCTGCACGCTTACAGTCACTGTTATGTGAGCTGAAGACTGTTGGCCTTTATATGAAGAGATGTGCCCTTTGATATTCTCTGCTAATACATCAACGCAGGACTGGTTTTGTGATCTTCAAGGGCGAGATGTTGACGTCTGGTGGCTGTTTGTGTATTTCAGAGGCTCATAAGTGCGAGTTGAGCTGCCGCTCTACAGAGACGGGTGAAGTCGTCTTCATGAACCAGGTGATGCATGATGGGACGCGCTGCAGTTACACGGATCTGTTCAGCGTCTGCGCTCGAGGAGAGTGTCTGGTGAGAATCGTATCATGCACAGAAACACAATACTGATATCTGATTCATTCGCTAAAACTGGTTCTTATAAATCATTGCATCTGTTTAGGACACTAAATGTAACTTTTTAAATATATTATTATTTATATAACTTAAAAACAATAATATATTATTGATCCAAATAAATAATTAGATCAAATAGATTGAATTTTCAGCATTACTCCAGTCTTCAGTGTCACATGATCCTTCAGAAATCATTTTAATATGTGACCCTGGAGCACAAAACCAGTCATAGGGGTACATTTTTGGAAATTAGATTTATACATGAAGCTGAATAAATAATCTTTCCATTGATGTATGGTTTGTTAGGATAGGACAATATTTGGCTGAGATACAACTATTTGAAAATCTGGAATCTGAGGGTGCAAAAAAATCTAAATATTGAGAAAATCATCTTTAAAGTTGTCCAAATGAAGTTCTTAGCGATGCATATTACTAATCAAAAATTAAGTTTTGATATATTTACGGTAGGAAATTTACAAAATATCTTCATGGAACATGATCTTTACTAAAATATCCTAATGATTTTAGGCATAAAAAAAAAATCGATAATTTTGACCCATACAATGTATTGTTGGCTATTGCTACAAATATACCCCAGCGACTTAACACTGCTTTTGTGCTCCAGGGTCGCATATGCTGATTTGCTGCTCAAGAAACATTTCTGATTATTATCAATGTTGAAAACAGTTGTGCTGCCCAATATTTCTGTGGAAACCATGATACATTTTAGTGTTTAGAATCCTTTGATGAATAGAAAGTTGATAATAATCTATTTCGAATATAAATCTTTTGTAACATTATCAATATCTTTACTGTCACTTTTTTGAGCAATTTAATGCATTCTTGCTGAATGAAAGTATTTATATCTGTCATGAAATAAAAATCTTACTGACCCTAAACTTTCACAAATTTGTTGAATATATGACTGCAACAAGCGTGTGAATGTTTTTTGAACAAGTTTGTTGAAACGAACTTTAGAAATAAATGCAGTCAGAGACACACTATTGATTGAGCACGCCGTCTCTTCAGTGTGTCTGACCTGTTTAAGTGTGAATGAGTGAATGAATCCCTCCTGTCTGGCTCTTCTGATCAGCACGTCGGCTGTGATAAGGAGGTGGGATCGTACAAACAGGAGGATAAATGCGGCGTCTGTGAAGGAGACAATTCTCACTGTCGAACCGTCAAACTCACGCTCACCAAAACCCCGAACAAGACAGGTACAAACTCAGACGGAGAGCAAACACATTCAGCCGTCCTCCGGACAAACACTGATGAAACCACGCTTCATTATTTACTACAGTAGCGTTTACTTCAGTCTTTCTCTGTGGCCTAAAAAACACATGCCTGGATGCATGCCACATGCTCATGTCCAGCTCCTGCTGAGAGCCTGATTTTTTTAAAGAAAAAATGTAGTGTTTTAATGTGAAGTACAAAGTTTTATTTTACAACAGTACAACAAGATCCTAGTATTTGTGCACTTTGTAGTATATAGACTTTATAGTGCAGTATGTATAGTATAACTATTAAAAACATTTCATTAATTCATTAATAAATTTCATTAATACTGTATAGTGGGAAAAGTGCTTTATAAATAAACAGAATGAAATTGAGATAAAAAAAACTAAATAAGATAAATATTAGATTAAAATGTTGTCATGGCAACTAACTGAAATAAAATGAGTTTAAACGGAATACTGCAATTACAAAAACTGAAATAAAAATAATTTAAAATTAAATAGAAATATTAAAAAAACATAAAAAAGAAAAAAAATTCAAAATATAAAAACAATTCTAGTTCATATTTTACTCCAAAATCATCTAAATAATGTGTGTG